GGCTGAGTCAAATGGTGAGGACATTACAAGTTATTTTCCCTTACATAACTAGTATTTATCAAGCCACCAAAATTGCCAGGAATTCTTAAATTATTTCCCATAAATTTTTCCAGGTAGTCACAGATCCAACAACTGAATGGCAATTTAAAAGTCATATTTCTATTAGAATTATAAACACCTTACATTTAGAGTTCTGTTTGCATAAAGGGGAAGGACAATGCATGACTCTGGTTAGAGCCCAGACCATCCACATTTCATTCCATTTTCAGATTCCTACGGAGTGAATTTTGCTCTTAGCCCCTAATGCTTGGTGGGATGCATTCTTGCATCCAAAAAGTGGTTTTTCATCTTTGCTTCCCTGTCAGCTCTCTTTTTAAATTACTTTTCATTTTATCATTTACACCAAATCAGCTGTCTCTAGAGTCTTCCAGTCTCTCCATTACCTGACTCTGTGGAGTAGATGCAGAATTTCCAGTTGAAGGCCTCACTTTTGAAGTTTTACTCAGGGCTTTCTTCTGCTGTAAAGCCATGGTGTACTTACTCACAGCATTCCGATATTCCTTATCATGAAAGAGAGAATCTGCATGATACACCAAAAGCTGGTACTTCTGAGATGGGGAGAACAGCTCGCTAGAAAACAAAGAAAATACATCCCCTACATGGGTCATTTTGAAATTAATGTAGGCAGAAAACCTCCTTTATTGTCCACATAAGGCTAGCACAAAGTGTTGTATAATTATAGCTTACAAAAAAGTCAGCACACCTTCAGTGCTAGTCCCTAAACTGTGAGGCGTGAGAGTCACACTCTATGCTAATATGGTCAACACACTTAGGGTACTGTCTTGAATTGCTGTGTTTTAATACACTTTAATTTTTCCTTTACTTATTATAAAAGCAATGCATACCTGTATATCAAATCCAAAAATATAGAGATTTATAAAGAAAAATGTGATAAGCCTTTCCCTCCCTTCTTTTAATCTAAGCGCTCTTAATTTAACAGTTTGAAATGTATCTGTCCACACTCTGATGTTAACATCAAATTTCAAGGATAATACAGATAAAGGAGAGCAAACACAACAATTTAACTATATTACCAAAGAATGGTCAAGGAATCTGGAAAAGCAAAACTTCAACATTTGAATCCTTTTTAGGAAGAAGTTGAACGTAAAAGGTTTGGAAGGACTTGAAAACTCTTCAAATACTGAAGAAAATGTCATATAGAAAGAGGATTAGGCTTGTTTGATACAATTTTTTTTTAAATGTAAAAGTAAACTTTATTAGCACTAGAATTCTTATCTTCTTGACTGCTAAGGGTTTAAGGACAGTGTAAAGGAGCCAATGTTTCAAAACTTTTTCTTTAACCTTGAATACTGCTCATAAGCATTATAGCTGCCTAGAAGCCACCATTCTTAATGGGAAACTCATACTTTTAATATCCAATTCCACCCTGCACCCCCTCATTCCCAAATTAAAAGGAGCTTACAGCTACAGCTGCTTAAAATGAAAGAACAGAGTGAGTCAAAGAACTCTGCAGACAGTGAGTTTCTCAACAAATGGAGGTGTATTCAAGAATAGATACTATAGAGACAGAAAGTAAATACGTAGTGGTTGCCAGGAGATGGGGGTAGGGTAGATGGAGAGTAACTGCTAATGGGTACAGATTTCTTTTTGTGCAGGGTGATGAAAATGTTAAGGAATTAAGGTAGTGGTGATGGTTGCACAACCTTACAAATGCAGTAAAAACCACATAATTCAACACTTTAGAGGTTGAATTTCATCATATGTGAATTACATCTCATTTAAAAAAAGACAGGCTAAACACTAGATATAAAGTTACAAAGGAAATTCAAGAACTGTAAGGTACAGTGCACATGACTTCAGATTTCTTCCAACTCTGAGACACTAGTATTTAGTGAGAAGTATCTGATGCTTGGATAAAGAACAAAGTATTACCATACACACAGCATACATTCAGGTATTTATACAACGTAACATGAGAAACTGTTAACAGCTGTTGTCTCTGGCAAAGGCAATGGTGGGGTAGGGCTCAGAAGCTAGGGACAGAAACTATCTGCATACAACATGAAACAGGACTGGGCAACAGTTTCATTCTGTTACACAGAGGCAACTAACAGCAACAACCTTTTCTGTATTGTTTGAATTTTTTTTTTAAAAACCATATGCATGTAACTGCCTATTCGATAAGAAATCATAAAATATAAAGGTCAGAACTTAGACAAACATATCAATATATGTTGTGTTTGCTCTTCTTTACTGATATTATCCTCTAGAGGTAGAAGCTAGGAAGCTACCAGTCGAACTTCACATGAAGAAGCCTAGGCTAACTAAACTTAAGGGCAGCCAGAGGATCAGGCTGCTTCAAACTATTCTGTAACATCTTCAAGAAACAATGAGTAGAACACTAGAGACACAAGGAAAGTGTTAGCCCAAGAGACAGAAAGGGCCACATAAACCAGAGACTTCATCAGCCTGAGACCAGAAGACCTAGATGATGCCCGGCTACCACCAATGACCGCCCTGACAGGAAACACAACAGAGTCCTGGATGGAGCAGGAGAAAAGTAGGGTGCGGAACTCAAATTCTAGTAAAAAGACCAGACTTAATGGTCTCACTGAGACTGGAGGAACCCCAGAAAGCATGGCCACGGGATTCTCTGTCAACCCAGAACTAAAACAATTCCCGAGGCCAACTCTTCAGACAAACATTGGACTGGACTGTGAGACAGAAAACGATACTTGTGAAGAGTGTGCTTCTTAGCTCAAGTAGATACATGAGACTAAAAGGGCAGCTTCTGTCCAGAGGTGAGATGAGAAGGCAGAGAGCGTTAGGAGCTGGCTGAATGGACACGGGGAATCAGGGGTGGAAAGGAGGAGTGTGATGTCACAGTATAGAGAGAGCAACTAGGGTCACATAACAAGTACATATAAATTTTTGTATGAGAAACTAATTTGAATTGTATACTTTCACTTAAACTACAACAATAAACAAAAAGAAAAAAGAAGAAAGAAACAATGAATAATGACTAACTGGTGCATAAATCCCCAACGTGGAAACCGCATGCTTTGGCAAATCACTTGCAAGCAAGGGAAAGGCTCCAGAGTAAACACAGAAAGCTGACAGAGGCCAGGGCTCCTTGCTGTCAGCATTAAGTGGATGGTGGCAAAATGACGGGTCTCACAGAGTGAAGTCCAAAGCACACTCATGGAGATGAAATGGGGAGCAGCGGCTGCACTGCAGGCACTTAACGCCTCTCCTTTCTGACCAAGACCACTTCTCCAGCAGGCCAACCGCAGTGGGTCCACGCTAAGTAGAAAATTCAATTGCAATGCCATTTAGACTGTGGTGGGTCAGTATGGAGACTCTTGAGTCAGAGAGGACCAAGGTCCCATCTTGGCTCCTCCACTTACTAAATGTGTGAACTTGAACAAGGTATTTCACCTACCTGAGATTGTACCCATTTGCTTGTCAGATTTAATAAACATGTGAGTGCTTACTGCACACCAGGCTAAGTGTTGAGGATACAGCAGTGAACGCAGTTAATACGGCCCCTGCCCTCATGATCCCCCACAGTCTGGCAGGGGACGCAGATGCAGATGAAATAAAGAAATAACTTCAGCAGTGACAAGAGTGATGCAGAAAATAAAACAGAGCAATGGGATAGAAGAGTGGGGGTAAGGGACAATTCTGCTGGTCAGAGAAGGGCTCTCTAGGAGAGGTATCTGAGCTAAAACCTGAATGTGGCAGCAGGAAGAGCAGTGTAAAGGCCCAGAGGTGAGAACAAACTTGATGTGTTCAATTCACAGCGGCTGGAGGACAGGGAGCCAAGTAGATGAAACGAAGTCAGGGAGAGAGGAAACTGGGGTTCGGCCTTGCAGGCTACGGTAAGTACAATCGAGGACTTTAAGCAGGGGACTGACATGCATTCACAGCTGGAATTAGGCCGTGGCTTCATCTGTCATAAGATTCGGTAAGCGGCAGCTGTGAAAGTATGAAACGGGCACCGCTCTACATCTCCGAGCCCTGGGACCTGACATTAAGAGGCGCCACTCCCACCCATCAAGGGAGCCGCCAGCTTTCAGGGGCTTGCCTAGGCGATACACTCTGGAGAGAAAGGCCATCTCAAATGTGGGACGACGGTTTGCAAAGCAGAGGGCTGGACCTCTCAGAACTGCTGCGAGCAGGAGAAAGTTCTTTGGGAAGGAGCCGGGAGAGAAGATTCAGCCCAGCGACGTGACAGCTGTTTTGCTCGGCGCCAGGTGCCTCAGGAAACCGTTCGCTCTCAACTTTCGGGGAACCCTCTCCAGGATAGTCCTCGGAACCTCCCGCCTTGCATTCCTCGCAAGGGGCGCATCCCAGCGCCCGGCGCGGCGCAGGCGCCCAGCGAACTCAACGAGCGCTCCCACGTCGGATCCGCCCGACGAGGCCTGGCTGACACCTGAGCCTCACCTGGGGCCCGCGGCCGCTCCTTCCCGCCCGTCCCCAGGCCCCCTTCATCCGACTCCCAAACCCGCGCTGCTTTCTTTCGACCCAGCCGCTCCCCGCCTCAACTCACGGGTTGTTGTTACTCATCGTCAGTAACAAGCTGCTGAGAAGCCGCACATTGGAGTGCAGCCCCGCGGCCGCCATGTCCCGCACGTGGTCTATCACATTCATCCTGCCTGGAAAGGCCGCAGGCAGCGGCGGCAGCGACACGAAAAGCCGGTAGAAGCTCCTCAGGGAAGACTCCAAAATGGCGGCCTCGCAGGGGTCCATCGGGTCCACATGCGGCACCGCCCCCAAGAAAATAGGCGACTTCCGTAGTGCCTGCGTAAAAATGTCCGTTCCTCCCTGCTGCCCCCGCGCCTCCTGTGACGTAATGCGGCGCATGATTTGGATTTTTTTTTTTAAAGCAAAAATCACGTCATCATCCTAATCAGCAAACTCTACTGAGGGCTTTCAATGGGCTAGGCTAGGGACAAAAGACCTCTCAGTAGGACTAGTTGCTCCACTGAAATAAAATGAGTTTGAGAGGAATGTGTGCCTCTCAGAAATTAATACAAATGTATAGACATTATAAATAAAATTAAATAAAAAACAGCAGAAAAAAATACAGTAGGGCACTGAAAAATCCTCAGTGTTGTTGTTAGGTGCTGTTGAGTCGGTTTCAACTCACAGTGACCCTATGCACAACAGAACGAAACACTGCCCGGTTTTGCGCCATCCTCACAATCATTGCTGTGCTTGAGACCACTGTTGCAGCCACTGTGTCAGTCCATCTCTGTGAGGGTCTTCCTCTCTTTCCTGACCCTCTACTTTACCAGGCATGAAGTTCTTCCTGCTAACATGTCAAAGGTATGTAAGACCAAGTCTCGTCATCCTCCCTTCTAAGGAGCATTGTGGTCGTACTTTTTCCAAGACAAATTTATTTGTTCGTCTGGCAGTCCATGGTATATTCAATATTCTTCGCCAACACCATAATTTAAATGCATCAGCTCTTCAATCTTCCTTGCTCACTGTCCAGCTTTCACATGCATATGAGGCGATTGAAAATACCATGGCTTGGGCTAGCAACCAATGTCACAAAACAATATGTGTATTAATTGTTTAATGAGAAACTAGTTTGCTCTGTAAACTTTCATCTAAAGTACAGTTTTTAAAAATTATTTAAAAAAAAAAAGAAAATACCATGGCTTGGGTCAAGCACACCTTAGTCCTCAAAGTGACAACTTTGCTTTTTAACACTTTAAAGAGGTCTTTTGCAGCAGATTTGCCCAATGCAATATGTAGTTGGATTTCTTGACTGCTGCTTCCATGGACATTGATTGTGGATCCAAGGAAAATGAAATCCTTGACAACTTCAACATTTTCTCCATTTATCATGATGTTGCCTATAGGTCCAATTGTGAGGATTCTTGCTTTCTTTATGTTTAGGTGTAATCCACTGAAGGCTGTGGTCTTTGATCTTCATTAGTAAGTGCTTCAGGTCCTCCTCGCTTTCAGCAAGCAAGGTTGTGTCATCTGCATAATGCAGGTTGTTAATGAGTCTTCCTCCAATCCTATGCTTTGTTTTCTTCATATAGTCCGGCTTGTAGGATTATTTGCTCCGCATACACATTGAATAAGTATGGTGAAAGGATACAACTCTGATGCACATCTTTCCTGATTTTAAACCACTAAGTATCCCCTTGTTCTGTTTGAACGGCTGCCTCTTGGTCTATGTGCAGGTTCCGGATGAGCACAATTAAGTATTCTGGAATTCCCATTCTTCACAATGTTATCCATAATTTGTTATGATCCAACAGTCGAATGCCTTTGCATAGTCAATAAAACACAGGCAAACATCTTTCTGGTATTCTCTGCTTTTAGCCAATATCCATCTGACATCAGCAATGACATCCCTCATTCCACGTCCTCTTCCGAGTCCGACTTGAATTTCTGGCAGTTCCCTATCCATGTACTGTTGCAATGTTTTTTAATCATCTTCAGTGAAATTTTACTTGCATGTGATATTAATGACACTGTTCGATAATTTCCACTTTCTGTTGGATCACTTTTCTTTGGAATGGGCACAAATATGGATCTCTTCCAGTCAGTTGGCCAGGTAGCTGTCTTCCAAATTTCTTGGCAAAGACGAGTGAATGCTTCCAGCATTGCATCGTTGTATCTGTTTGTTGAAAACATCTCAGTTGGTACTCGGTCAATTCCTGGAGCGTTGTTTTTCGCCAATGCCTTCAGTGCAGCTTGGACTTCTTTCAGTACCATCCGTTCTTGATCATATGCTACCTTCTGAAATGGTTTGATGTCGCCCAGTCCTTTTTGGTACAGTGACTCCGTGTATTCCTTTCATCTTCTTTCGATGCTTCCTGCATCGTTCAATACTTTGCCCATAGAATCCTTCAATATTGCAACTCCAGGCTTTAATTTTTTCTTCAGTTCTTTCAGCTTGAGAAATGTTAAGCATATTCTTCCCTTTGGGTTTTCTAACTGAAGGTTTTTGCACATTTCATTATATTTTACTTGGCCTTCTCCAGCTGCTCAATGAAATCTTCTGTCAGCTCTTTATTTTTTTTCCTTTGCTTTACCTACTCTACATTGAAGAGCAAGTTTTAGAGTCTCTTCTGACATGCATTTTGGTTTTTTCTTTCTTTCCCGTCTTTTTAATGATCTTTTGCTTTCTTAACATATGACATCCTTGACGTCACCCCTCAACTCGGCTCATCGTAAATCCGCAATACCTGGAATTAAATATTTTAATCAGGCGCCAGGGGCAGTCCTAACTGAGTTGTCCCCGTTGCGCTTGCGCATTAGGCTGAAGGCGCCTCCCCGCTCTTGGCGGGTGTTTTGTGTTCCTGGGGAGTCGGACTACGCCTCCCGGATATATGCCTTCGATGCAAAAGGGCAAATTTTACCGTGTGAAATAACTCACTGGCTCAAAGTGAATGAAGGCTGGGTCCAAAAACGAGCTGGTACTCATAATATCCAGCATTTGTCTGACAGAGTTGACATTTTACGAAAGTTTCACACCAGTTATTGCGTTAAATGGGTTGCTCACAAACCAACGTACAAGGCTGAAGTTGTTATTATCTTTTCACAGGTGGAGAAACTGAGGCTGCCTACTTAAATTTTGTGCCACATTTTTAAATGGCTGGCTTGGAATCAGATATTCTCCCTGATTACACAGTGGCGAAATAGATCGCAAACTCAAATGCATACGAGGGCGGAGAAGGAAATCGAATGAGGCAGTTTAGATGTTTGAGTTAAGCAGAGTAGGCATATTCTCCGCTCCTCACCAAAAAAAATGTGGCCTGTGGCTCTTTTCTTCTGGAATTTATTGTGAAATGGAGCCTTTACGAATCCTTGGAAATTTATCCTGATGTTTAAGACTTTTCGTGACTGCATATCTGGTGCTTCAAAATTAAAATAAGCGTTTTTTTAAATAAACTATGAGCTTGTACTCCAGTGACTGATGAATCTGTTTATACTGCTCATTGAACATGAATTTGCAAACTCAGTTTTGACAAAATCATTGACATGTTTGCAGACTTTAAGGAAAAAAACAGAAACTAATATTCATTTCTGTGCCAGTCCAATAAGTAGATTACAGGTTTGTTTTTCGTTGAAAAAATAAAAAGTTTAATCTATTACCTTTTTATACTGTAATATTTAATTTTTCATGAAAATTTTACTGTTGTTATTTAGATGAAGTTCAATAAAATATGTTTTCATTGCTTATTTTCTGGCCATTACTATTACTTTTCATTTCAGGATTATTACTAAAAGTAATTTTGTCATGTACTTTAACATACGGGGTGTAAAAATTATCTACTCTGGGGATCAAACTTGCTAAGAATACCACTGTATCTAACACACTTAGAACAATGTCTGGCACGTTGTAAGCACCTTATAAAACAAACAAACTCATTGCCATAGAGTCGACTGCAACTCATGGTGACCCCGTGTGTTGCAGAGTAGAACTGTGCTCTGCAGTGGTCAAGGCTGTTACCGTTTGGAAAGGAGCCCTGGTGGCACAGTGGTTAAGCGCTTGGCTGCTAACTAAAAGATTGGCAGTTTGAAGCCACCAGCTGCTCCAAGGGAGAAAGATGGGGCAGTCTGCTTCCATAAAGATTTACAGCTTTGGAAACCCTACTCTGTCCTATCGGGTCACTCTGAGTCAGAATCAACTCCATGGCAACGGGGATTTACCTTTTGGAAGCAGATTGCTAGGCCTTTCTTCTAAGGCACCTCTGAATCACCAACCTTTTGGTTATAGCAGAGCGCTTAACTGTTTGCAGCACCCAGGGACTCCTAAGTACTACCTAAATGTTTGCTATATTTTTTTCTACATTTGAAGTATTTTGTAAGTAAAACCACATCTGATAATAGCCAAAAAGTAGAAACAATCCAAATGCCCATCAGTTGATGAACAAACTGCGGTGTGTCCATACAATGAAATAGTATTCGGCAATAAAAAGGAATAAACTGCAGCCACAACATGAATGGATCTGAAAAAGAAAAAAAAATTCTAAAAGTAGAATCATGCTATGAAGCCAGATGCAAAAGACCACATATTCTATGCCTCCATTTCTATGAAATGTCTCAGAAACCAGCTTAGTGGTGGTCTGGGGCTGGGCAGGAGAGTGAGGAGTGACCACACCAGGGTCATTTTGGGTTAATGGGAATGTTCTAAACCTGGATTGTGGTGATGGTTACACAACTCTGTAAATTTACTAAAAATCATTGAATTGTACACTTACAATAGGTGAATTTTACTGTATGTAAATTATATCTCAGTGAAGCTTTAAAAAAATAAACACACGTTTATAGGCTATGTAAGGAGCCCTTGTGGCTCAGTGGATAAGCCTTCAGCTGCTAACCGAAAGGTCAGCAGTTCGAATCCACCAGCAGCTCTGCCAGAGAAAGATGTGGCAGTCTGCTTCCATAAAGATTACAGCCTTGGAAACCCTGTGGGGCAGTTCTACCCTGTCCTGTAAGGTCGCTGTGAGTCAGAATCGACTCATCAGCAATGGGTTGTAAGCTACATATGAAAGTAAACCACCAATTTACAACTTCTGCTGTAAATCTAGAATATTTATAATGTAAGTCTAAAATATTTAGATTTACAGTACCCTATAAATCTAAAATATACTTAGGTTCCTATCTGAACTGACATGTTATTACACATTGTCACAGATCCACTGACCATGGAATAAACCAGCAATCATAGGCCACACCTCCTCCTACACTCCGCCCCTGCCAATCCTCCTGTCAATCTC